ATTTTTGCCATTCAGCTGAACAACCAATGATGGCCTGCAATATCTGCTGAATAATACATCTAAATAATTAATAGACAACTTGTGCAAAATCTTATACAATTTACTTGAGGCACTTTAAAATCAATATCATGTTGAAATGGCTTGCAGAATTCTCATTTAAATTGACCAGTCCAGGCAAAAAGTTTATTTGCTCAACTTTCCCATGAAGATGCTGATGACAATAATGAAAAATGTATTTTTTTTTTATTTTCTTGTTAAAAATTCATTTGCCCGAGGAAACTTGAGCTGGAAATGTTCAGGGTTGTATTAAAATGAAAATTGGCAGCATATCTCTAGTGACTAATTTATTTTACAGACCCGCAGCAATGAAAAATACAGCTATGTGCAGTATTAATACAAAGAAGGATCTGATTAACAACCATGTGACTTTACTGTTTGTTCTTATTCGTAGGTAATTATTCAGCTGTTAAAACTGGCACTGTTTGTTTAAGAATCAAAACAACGTGGTAAAGGACGTTCAAAGAAGGCCACATGGAAATCCACTGCAACCTAAACTATAAAGTGACTTGTCGTGCTTTGCAATATTAGTCACTGCTAGGCAAATAACTCAAGCAATTTCATTTGTTTTCTTTCCAGCATCACTATAGAGTGTTAAAAGGTTAATAAATAATACCCAGTTCTTATATGGCACTTTTCATCAGTAGAGCAAAAAGTACTTTACCATTAACCCCATTTTCCAGATGGGGAAACTGAGCCATAGATACGTGAGATGAGTGCTCAAGGTCACTCAGCAGCTAGTGTCAGAGCTGGGAACAGAATTCAGATCTCCTGAGTCCCAGTCCAGGGCTCTATCTGTTAGACAACATGGTCTACAATACTATGATCTACAATACTACACTCTCATGTTTTTGGAAACAAAGCTGCAAAGCTCAATATTGTACTTAAATTGTGGAATTCTTCTTCTTTATCTCATTCTTTCCTATTGCTTCTCATATTAGGACCTGGTTCAGTAAAGTGCTGAGGTTCGTCCTTAAATCCCATTGAATTCCCTGGGATTTAAACCTCTGCTTAAATGGCTTGCTGAATTGAGGCCTTAGATCAGGGGTTCTCAGGACAAATTTTTTGGTGGCCTCAGAGCTAACTAGTTAATTAGCTTTAGGAAAAACAAAAATATGCACATATACCCATCCAAATCATTGTAATGTATTTATTGCTAGCTAGTAAGTCTGCTGTGAAAAGTGATATTAACAAACATACAAGTATCACTTTTCACAGCAGACTTACTCAGCCCTGCCAAGCCTGGGGACAAATTTAAGCCCTGGATGGGGTAGGGTGACAAGTTGGGTGCTGGAGCCTGGGGCCTGCCACTGCGCAGCTGGAGCTCAGGGATCGAGCCTGAAGCTGAGCCTGCCACCCCTGGGCTGAAGCCCAAAGCCTGGGCCCCACCACATCTGGGAAGGTGGGAACTCACCGGCTGCCTGGACCTTCTGCATTGTGGCCCAGGTGTCAACACCAAGGCAGTGCATCCAGGAGCAACAGAGAGCGGGAATGGCTGCTACTTTGCCTCCTCCCTCCACAATCACAGCCCAGGAGGCTGTGGCCACAAAAAGAAGCCCCTGGTGGCCTCATGCGGCCATGGTGGCCACATTTGAGAGACGCTGCCTTAGATCCTAGTAATGTTTTTTTGTGTCTAGCTCTACATATGCTGCCACTGGCCAGCTTCTAAAGTGCTAGCTTTGTTGTCTGGATTGTATTTTCAGTATCTACACTTAGTAGCATTAGCAGTGATGTCCCAGCAGGGACATCATATCATGCTGTCTTGGGAGCAGGAGGGGAAAGGATAATGCAGCAAATTGCCTACCAGTGACCGTTTTATTCAATGCTGATAGTTTCTGGCCCACATGCACCAGTCTAATGACCTTCCTCTTGGGACAATTTATCCTTGACTTAAGTAGGAGCAGGACCAGACCCTTCATGCTTCTGCACTGCTCTAGAAGCTGATGTGCATTTGTTCTGATCCACTGCTTAGCGGGCAGTGTTTGACACAACTGAAGTGCCACTGTTTTCCAAAATTTGAAAGTTAAGTCCTACTTAGTGCCAACTTGAAAATCTTAATCTTTTATATGATATATATATATGTATGTTCGACTTCAAAAAGTGTATAAAAGTGAAAGGGGATGACCCGTTTGCGCTTTCTAGGGGGGTGGGATCCTTGAAATATGCCCCCCCCTTTCCCAGAAGTAGAGGCCAAAAAGGAATGGTGATGAACTAAATGAGACATTAAAAACAAAGGTGTAGGGCTGTCAAAAGGAAAACACAAATGTGCCTGTGGGGGAATGAGAAGTGCAGGGTGGACAGCCTTGGAGTTGGAGACCTCTGTCCCATGGAGCGAGAATCACATGAGCAGTGGCAGTGTGTGCAAGCTTTCCTCTATGCATTGTCCTGCTAACATGCCTCAGCCTTCAAGTAGAGGGACTACTCTAAGGGTGAGAGAGGAGTGCAGGTCTTGTCTTTTCTACTGAGAATGCAAATGAGGGAGGCAGTTAATGGACATCTGTCCACTTGGAACCAGAGTAAGACTGACCACTTATTTCACAGGGCCTACTGACGCACATCAGATAGTAATGACATTCAGTTACCCATCCTCTTATATTGGCAATTTAGAAGCACTTGTTTTTTGTTAAACCAGTTGACTAGGAAGAGCTTTCCTCTGGAGGCTGGATGTAATCTGAGCCATGACACAATACATAACACATTCTGCAGCACTGGGAAATGACTTGCACTAGGCTGCTTTCTTTCAATACCATCAGCTGTTTCAGCGTGCTGACTATTTAAAGGACATGTTCTTTTACCAGGATCAGCTAACTGAGCAACAGTAGACCTGTTGCTTCTTATTGATGTAGAAAGCTCAAAAAGGTCGGGATCGGGGCGGGGATGGGGATGAGTACTTGGGGAAAAATCAGTTTATTGTAGTTCTGAATGTCTGTTTATTGTAAATGTTTGCACTGTTCAGAGATTGGACTGAGTTACAATGTTCTTATACAATTATGAACAGAGTTTGGAAGCATTTAGGTCCAGGGTTTTGATTTGTCATGTTGGAGAGCAATGGTTGAGCCCCAGAATCTAGACCTGAATTTCCCCGAAGATCAGTGGTGTATAGCTCTCAGGGTTTTAATAGAGGCCTGTCTCTAGCAGTGTTGAATTGAAGCTGTATAACTAATCAAACAGCATCCAACACCCCCTACAATTCTAAATGTTTGTAAAAAATACTTTATTTTTGAAGTAAAAATAAAATAATCATTTGAAGAAGCATATGAAATGCCTGCAGGTTTCTCTGTTATTTCCTTTAATGCCCCCGGTAGTAGCAAACTTTCATCTTATTACCATTGTTGGACTACAGCACTGGTAAACAGTTGTGGTGAAGTGTTACCACTTACCTTAGGGTGACCTCTGCATATTTCCACTTGTAGCATGTGTCCACCAGCACCAGAACTCTGAAACTTTTAGAAAGCAGCACCCTTTGGTATTCCCGATTGCCCTTTCACAGTACTAAACATTCAGAGCTGAGGTTATAAAATGTCCGTGCAATCCAAAGCACCTCAGTTTCTTCCTTTTGGCAGCCAGCTATAGACATAGGAACCTTTCTGTCTCTGGAATTTGGTTTTCAGCCAGACTTCTTGCCAATTTTTTCTCCGTGAATAGTTCTTGGTAGTTAGGTTTTTAGGTAGTTTGGGTTCTTTTGAGACTCTTCCCACATCATTGTACAGTTTGAATCTCAAACTGGCATTGGCTTTGTTCTGGGCTTTACAGCAAACCCACAGGCCAAGGTTTGAAGTGTGCATTGTGTCCTTCCTTTTTTCTGGGGTCTGTGCACAGCTAGTGCCTCATGTGCCTGGCAATGCCATTCTTCTTGCCCATTCTCCTGATTTGCTGTCAGACTTTTCACACCCTGAGTCAGTATAGATATACAAACCTGGCTCCAAGCCTTCTTAATGAAGGAGGGTCTTTCACTTCTAAACCTCCTCAGTGAGCAAATCAAACCTTCAATGCGAGATCCAACCTAAGGTATCCTTCTGGACCCACTTTGGTGAGGCTGCCACATCGAGCCAGTCAGATGCCATAGGTGCTAGAGGGACAGTCATTGCCACCTCTGAAAATCATCTAGTGCTAACATCTCAAAGCTGAGGTCTACCTATGTTCTGGAAAACCTTCAGGACTCTTTTCCTTTCTCCAGTGCCTTGGATCCAAGGGCTCAAATGGGTAAGATTGTGAGCAGTGATGAAGTCCCGCACATCCAGCTAAATTTGGTTAGTTTCAGAAATGTTGCAACCTGGCTATCCCTGCCCACTCATAGGAAATTAGTTATAGATGAGGCTGAGGTGCACAGGCCTCTTACAACTAGTAGGAGATTAATTTACAGATTACACTCATATTGCCCCAGCCTGAGTGAACTTATCTTTGTATTAAAAGATGTCGTTCATTGTCACCACCACCAAGAGAGGGATCTGTTTTCCTTTTGGGACATGTGAAATTTGGAAAGGTTCTGTGGTTAGCTATGAGCAGATAAACATTTTATAGCAATTGAAAGTGGGCAAGGTAGCAGGCTCAGATGAGTTTGATCTCAGAAAATAGAGAGGCTGAAGCTGCCTCCCTAACTGTTCCATCATGCATTGTAGGTGGGATTGAACTGAATTTTAACAGTAGCTGTGTTTTAACTGGACCCCTCAACATGATTGATTTTTGTAGTTTAGGCAAGACTAGAACCATATGTTTTGATCATACTTATTTAAAAGGCCAACTCCACATTTCTAAGAGGCTTCCTTTGAGATCAAAGTTGATTCAGAAGTTAAACGATGCTGTCACCCTTGGTGAGCAGATAGTAGTGCTCTTATTCACAATGCTGAAGCATGTTCACGAGTGTGTTTTCATTTGGGAAATAAATGTAATGCAATGATTCTGTGTACAAGTCCTATCCTAGCCTTCTAACCCTTCTTTTCCAGAGTCAAGACGACAGATTTGCTTTCATTGCAGAATGGTATGACCCGAACGCTTCACTCTTTCGACGTTACGAACTCTTGTATTATCCGAAAGATGGTTCCGTTGAAATGGTAAAAACTTTTTTATATTATCATAAGCATATTTTTCAGCTACACAGTTTGGAAGTTGGTAAGCCACAGCCCATAGTATGGTTTTAATTTGGAAATGGTAAATTTAAAGAAATTTTTTAAATTTGTTTGCTCTGTTTCTAAAATTAAACAAACTCAGGGGAATCTAGGGACTAACCTCCTTATTTATTGATTGATTTTGTAAAGCTTGCACAGTTGCCAACATTTGAAAATGTATCCAGACAGAATTGTCCTAATAGGCCCGGGGTGACAATAACCTTTCCTGCAAATGCTGGTGAAATTAGGTTAACTATATAGAAATATTTGGTTTCTAAACTGAAAATTTCCAAAAAGTGTTTTTAATCATCTTAGCTCTTAGCACACCCAACAGCCACACAGTTCTGCATTTTGACAGCTTGTCAGTACTTGATGATAACTTGACACAGACACAAATGTCAGAGTGGGTGCTCAACTCGCCATCCATATTGGAACTGGGGAAGCAAAAATGCCCATATATAACCTGTGGTGGGAGAAGCTCTGTGTGACTGGGATCCCAGTGGGGGCCAGCTGAGGTCACTCAATTAGGGTGAACTGCAAAGGATGGGGCAGTCAATCCCCAAAGCTGGTGGATATTTCAATACTTAGATTTACCAAGCCAGCACAAAACAGCTTCTTTATTACCTCACCGGTTGCCCAGAAACCAACAACACAGTTTCCTTAAAGTAACCTAGCCTCAGGCCTCCATCCAGGTACCCAAGTCAAATATGATGAAGATTTCTGAACATCTTATTTCATCATATAAAAGAAAAGGTTCTACCAATCCCAAAGGATCGGACACATTACCTCCCAGGTTAGTGAATATTCCAGATCTTACCCAGATACACGCTACAGCCAATTCTTATTAACTAAACTAAAATTTATTAAAAAAGAAAAGGGAGAGAGTATGGTTAAAAGATCAATGTACACACAGATATAGAGTTCAATTCCTGAGGTTCAGATTCATAGCAGAGATGGTGTGCTTTGTAGTTGCAAAGAATTTAGTCCATAGGTTCTAGTCCAATGACCAATATCATATCCAGAGTGTACCAGCTTAACTGGGATCTCATCGTGCAACTCATACTTCCCCTGATGAAGCTTAAGCAGATCTGAGATAAACAGGATCAGGATCCAGGGATCTTTTATACAATTTCAAGCCACCTTTGACAAGTCGGAGTCCCTTGGGGAACAATAGGTAATTAGGGCGACTTTGAAGCAGGTCCATCACCGGTACTTGAAGCAGGTCCATCACCGGTATGCTTCTTGGCTGTTCCTGGGGAAAAAGGGGAAACTGGTAGAGGAAGCAGTGAAAATATTGGAGAGGCAGATTCTAGCTACATAGCAGGAGGAGTGGCCTCTATTGGCTGTGGAAGAGTTTGGCAGGGTTTTTTGTTTTTTGTCCCAGTAGCCCACAACAGAAAAGGATACCAGGGAGTACTGTGAGCAAATTGGATCTGTTGGCAAATATTCATGCTTGGTTCTCAGAATCTGACATCATTTGAAACCTTACAGGTTAATCCTTAACAATTTATTGCTTGGAATAGGAGTTATGTAGATGATTGCCTTAATAAGAGAAGGCTTATATATTTTTTAAAAACTCACAAGAGAACATAGATTGTTAGCAGACATTATTTCATTTCCGCTAAACTTGCTTCTTCAGGCAAAGTGTGAGAGACAGAGAGAGAAATAAAACTGCAAGCTGTATTTACCAAATCTAAGTAACGTTGATCTATTGTTTACCTACTTTGTGGCTCATCATTATGTTTTAAATAGGGTTTATAAATAGATCCAGGCATTCATGCCAAAAAATAAACCCCTAACAGGTGGATGAGGAAATATCATCTTCAGGCTTTTTTCATCCATGTCACTTCTACTACTTGGTAATTAGTGCAAAATAACCGGAACACATTTTTTTTCTCTGCTAGGGTTGAACTGAGCTAGGAAATATGCAAGTGTCAGGGTTTTGACGATTATTGATTCAATTACATCTGAAAATACAAGTCTTGAACAAGTCAGGCAATAATATACAGCAGAATTCAAGGGTCTATTTTATTATTTTACCATCTCATCAACTGTTAGAATATAGGATGTCAACTAATGCAAAGGACAAAGAGGGGTTTCATTCTGAATAGTGATGAGGAACCTCAAAAAGCTCAGTGTGAGGTAGTCCACCTTGCCAAAATGGGTGCTTATCAGAACTATTCTGACCTTTTCAGTATGCAGAATTGGGCTGTGAATTTCACAAGAGCAGACTGTCCTGTGAGACTTCTATTGAGTCCAGTCAGAATCTGGAAATGGGAGAAAAATGTATCCAAACACTTCAGAATATCAAAAAGATTCACTTTGGTTCTAAAAATGGGCAAAAGTTTTGTATTTTCACAAAATCTGATGGTTGGTATAGCTTTGTGGTGGAGGGTGGCACATGATATATAAGGGTGGGAAGGGGAAGTTTTGGCTCAGAACAGCAGACCAGACCCCTACTGTTACAGAAGTGCCTTGGGATCTTTAATATCCGCATGCAGCTGAAAGGAAGCTGTTGCTTTTAAGATGTCCTCTGATGCTTTGACAGCTCACCCAGTAAACTTTCTGGAACTTACTGCATTTTCCTCAGAAAGATTAAGTGCTGAGTTGACATTACTAGGATTTTTCAACTGTGCTTTTAGGGAGTCAGAATGTTTCAAACCCCGTTCTAAGGCCCTTAATCCAGTCCTCTGCCCCCTGCCCCTTTGAGTCTTGTACAATACAAACTGGTAGTGTAATATCACTGAGATGATGCCTTGAAGATACCTGTTACAGCATGTGACATGAGCAGTTCTGTTTTGGGTTACAGAACTGTGGCACAGTGTAGTTCTCCTGGGCAAACTGTCACTGAGACTCCCTAAAATTCAGACTGGACAAGAGATGCACACAGGGTACCAGAGCCAATTACTGCAACTCAGAATAACACAAGCAAGTTAAAAATTGGCAAATTCTAAGACGTTTTTCCCTTGTGCTGAGTGATGTCTTGCTTGGGGTACCCAGAACTGTGAGCTACTGTGCTACCCCTCTCAGCCTCAGCAAGTGAGACCCTTGTTGCGGCTAAGTTATGTGGTCAGCTCCCTGACATACCAGCTCATCTGCCTTGCCAGCAAACTTTTCAGGACTCTGCCACTCCAAACCTTGCCTTGCAGGTAACAATCAGTGAACCCCAGTTTCTGAGGTCCCCAGAAACGTCTCTCTGCAGGCGCCAGTCCCTCTCACTGGATACTCACAGAAGTTAAGTTCACTACCTCCAAAGAGACAGAACGCTCACCAGTCTGTCAGTTTAGCTGAAGACTCTTACACAGCATTCACATAATTTTCGTAATAAAACAAGAATAAGTTTATTAAGAAAGTACAGAAATTTAAGTGATCATAAGAAAGCATAAAAGAAATAAACATGGTTATAAGTAAAACAAAACATGCTTTCTAGTGACTAAAACTAAATTCATCTTTGTGTAAGCAGGTTTCTCACCTATAGTCAGTTTCCAGGTACTCCAGCTTTCATAGGCTCTGAAGGCACTGAACCCTAAATCCCCTCAATGATGGATAATCAAAATGGCTTTTTGCTTGTCTTTATATTCCCCAAAGTTCCTTGACTCTGTTTCAAGAGCCAGGAATGCTTCCTGGGGTTCAGATTACATCCCTTGTTGTGATTAAGTGGTCTGGTCCCCTACTTGTTAGCTTGATGTCTTTGTTTACCTTATATGTAAATGTACATGTAATGTCCTCTGCCTGTTATCAAGCTGATCAGACAAGTAAATACACATTCCTTTGTCTAGGACAGGCTGGGCTTATATGCTGCCTTCCAAACATATTTTAAGAACATATTTCCAGGACACATTTATAACTCTTTGTATACACCCTGTATACACACCACAGAATGATTTTTGGGACCAGACTGTTAACAGCTTGTACATGGTACCTTACATGACACTTTGACACCAGTATTTTGGGGGCAATGAGCATGTCAGCCTGATGTGAGTTATAGTATGTTGTGCCCCCTGCCAACTGGTATTGAGGGGCTCCCAGTGTCACTGGCTGATAGTTAAAATGGAACAAATTTATAATAGTTGGTTTCATCTCATGACCTTCTCTATTGTACATGCAAACTCAAAGGGTTAGAAATTCAGTGAATCTATCAACCTCACTGGATCCCATAATACTTTTGAAGCTGTTCTAAAATAGAATAGAATTTATTTTGAATTTGCTCATCCTTTAATCACCCTCTTTAGCTTCTTGGTGATCTTCCTTCTCTCTGCAGTATGATGTGAAGAACCATCGCACCTTTCTGAAACGCACAAAATATGATGACTTACACCTAGAAGATTTATTTGTAGGCAACAAAGTTACTGTCTTTTCACGTCACCTTTCCCTAGTAGACTATGGGGATCAATACACAGCCCGCAAGCTGGGTAGCCGCAAAGAAAGGTAAGATGATGTGGTCTCTGAAGTTCCTTTGGTATTTGCTATCCACAAAACTGTTTATGCAAGTGAGTTTTTCAAACTAATTGTCTTTCTCAGGAGGGATCAGAGAGAGTTTCTACAGCTGATGAGGTGGGATGATGGGAGGGTATATCTGCTGGTTTGCATTTTGGGCAAGGAGATTTGGCAGGTTTGATCACTGGAAGCAAGAGAGAGCAGTCCATCCCCCTGTCGTCAAACCTATGATCTTTCCTGTTTGTTGTTACACCCTCCAGATCACACCTTCCCATAGATGTAAACTGCTCCCCATTCCAATTCTGGAGCACAGTTCAGCTTTGTTACAGCTGTGTAACCCCAGTGATGTGCACTAATGTTGATTTCAGTGGAGCTGAATGGGTGTAGCTTGGGGCAGAATTTCAACCTTGGTATGTGCTGGGCTTACAGGGAATGAACCTTGCAAAAGTCATTGACTGTGTCTTGCAGAGACAAAGCACAGGCCTTGTGATCCAACAGCAACTCTTTACCAAGTGATGTGTTTTATACATCAGCTTGTAGTAGCAGTTACAAGCATCTCTCTTTTTATTGTTTTTATCCAGCCTCCACTGCTTTTCCTGCAGTAAAGGAGATATTGAAAAATTCCAAGGCTGGGTGGTGGTGGGGGCAAGAAAACTTATAGGGCCGGATCCTCAGCTGGTGAAAATTGGAGCTATGCTAATTTACACTATCTGAGGATCAGGCTCATAAGCTCATTCCAGTTGAGGCTGCATGACAGGAGAGGTTTGTTTTGGAGAACACATCTGGAAAAAACATATGGACCAAATTCTGCTCTTCGTTATGTTGCTACATACCTGGATTGACTTCAGTGGAGTTACTCTCTGAATGTGCACCAGTAGCACTGAGGCCAGAATTTAGCCCAATATCGTTAAGAAAAACGCTCATTATCCTTTCTAGATTGCTGTTCTTAACACCGGTAAACCCGCTACTAGCTCTGTTTTTGTGTGTTGTTTTTAAAGAGCTATAAGCAGGATTTTAAAACTTATATTTTAATCAAAATTACACTAAAAAGACACTGATAAGGTTGAAAAGTTGAACATTTACCATTCCCTCACCCCCTAAAAAATATTGCCACTGAGATGACTACAGTAACAGCCTTCCAAAATAAGGTCTCTGGGCATGTTGCCTATCGGTTGGAATTGGAGTAGTGGGAGGGAGGGTATGAAAGAGAAAGATTGTGTTTCAGGACTCTTGGGTTATATTTAGAGCCCTGTGACATTCCTTTTTTGTTTTATTTTTCAGGAATTTTGTGTTGTTTCGTTTTATCCACTCTGGGGGTGGGAGGAGGGTCGGGTCCTGCCCTAGTCTGGGGGAGAAGGCTCGGGGAGAGGGAATCCTCCCACTGGGGCAGGTGGAGGGCTTGGGGAGGAAGTTTGCAGAGTGAACCCCCCCACTGCACTCACCCCATAGTGGCAGCTGCTTTGCTGCAGGGCTTGGCCGGGCTTCCCGCTGCAGGTATTGCGACCTGGCACATGGGGTCACAGCATAGTTCAGGCTTGGCCCAGTTACCTTTCTGTCATCATGACGGAGGGGCAGCTGGGTCAGAGTTGAGGGAGTGGCACTTTATTTCATTTTATACATTGTTTTTCGGTATTTGTGTCGTTTTGCATTTGCAAAAAACATGAGGCTCTATTATGTTCCTGGTTTTATGAATCAACTCTGTGACCTTGGGCAAGTCACTTAGGCCTGGCCTACATACAACTTTTATGCCAGTATAATTTTTTTGGTTAGAGGGGTAAATTTGTACTGATGTACTATACCTGAATAAGCCCTAGTGTGGGTGCAATTACAGCAGTATAAAGGTGCCTTATATGGGAATTGTTTATTCCACTTCTCATATGGGAATAGCTACACTGGTATAAAACAGCTTTATACCAACGTGGATGCAGTTTATACTAGGAGGATTGTACTGCTTTATACTCTTCTATTTTAAAACAGTACAAATTTTGTGCCTAGACAAGCCCTTAATCTCTCATTTTCCCCATCTGTAAAATGGGGTTAATAATACTTACCATGCCCATCTTTAGCTGTAGAAGAGACAGTGTTATAATTTATTCAGAATGACCAAATGACTTCCATTGAAATCTACCTTAGGCAATCATCAAAGGGATCAGCAAAATCCAATTTCAAGCAGAGGTTGGGTTTTGATGGTTAAACAAGATTATATTGCACGGGGGCAAGTGGCTGGCTATGGGGTTGCCTGTTAGGGAAAGTCCTTAGTGCAGGTTTCATGACAGTGACAGAAGGGGAAAAAGAAGAATTTTGCAAGAGAGGATGAAATGAGCATCACCAAAGATAAAGAATGTGGAACTGGACAATTTTGCTGTTGATGCACGAGGCAGAATAATCTTCACCTTGTTCTGCAATAGTCCTGCATGGCCCATACAGCTAGCAGAAGGAAACATAGGCTCAAGTTTGCAAAACTTACACATACTTTGGTCACTAGAGAAGCATGTGCAAAATGCTCAGTGAGTACTCCAGGCTAGACTGGCATCTGCACATCAAGCATCTTGCACTTTCTGAAACTGGAGCCTTTGATTTTGTCAGTAAAATGAGCCAGTATGACTCCAGACACATACAGGGAATTGATCTGGTGTGGGGGGAAGAAAAAGCTGATTTTTACATAGTCCGTTTTCTGATTGTAATTGCACTTTAAGTAAAAACTTTCCTGTATGGACAGGCAACTTAAAATCTATCCAGTTCCAAAAAGTGACTTTAAAGTAGTTTCAGGTTCTACACTTGCCTCTGAGTCCCCCAGACAATTTATTTATTGGCTTTACAGCCATGTTTATTTATTTAAATGCTTTTTTTTCCTTTTCCCCCTTTCCACTGTTAACTGAAAGACCCATGCCAACAAGGAAACTGATTAGGGAACTTAACTAAACACACAGTGCTGTCAAATGCACAAAGTAAATAAAATTGGAAAAAATAGAGAATTTTCCCCCCTAATCTTTCACTTGTAGTGATCTTAGATGGTGCTTAACACTAGTTAAACATTTTTCAGACAAGTTTTTTTTTTGTTTTTTTTTTTTAAAGAGGACCGTGAGCCTTTCAGTGTATTCAGTTACCATAACTGGTTTAAAAAAATTATTAGAATGCTCACAAGCCAGAAATTCCAGATTATTTTATTGATTTAGTAAATCATTAATGTGCTTCCAGTCATTTACCATATTTAACATTTCCTCCCCTCCACAGCATAAGATTTTGTACTTGTAATAGTCCTTCTATTAAAAATAAATAAACACCAGCCTTAGCCACAGCATACATTGTGTTTTATGCACCAGATACCGTTCTTATGATCACTTACTATCTCTCTTTTCAATAATCACAAGAGATTCGCATTCAGATTTACTGTGTGACACAAAGTAGCTGAGTCTAGTTTTTAATTCTTTTTCCTTTGTTCCCAGATGTAACTGTTCCCTAATGCACTTGTGTGGACTCACCTGTCAGAACCCTAGGAATTATTGCTAATTAAAACTACAAATAGATCACATTGATCCAAAATCCAATCTCAGGAACAAACCTCAGCATGCTGGATCATAGCACTTTCTACCCTGCATACCTCCATGAAAAACACACTGAAAATACTATTACAAACCACACATGACCAGTGGCTTCCCCAGGAATTGAAATTGGGGGGCGGGGTGTTCGAATTTACACGGGGGGGTGTCAGGGCCGATGAGGGGCGAGACTGTGAGGGTGAAGGTGGGCTGTATGGCACCATAGTAAAAACTGAAAAAATGTTTCATGACCATTTTATTAGATTTAACTCATGTTTTACAATCATCACACAAATTAAAGTTGGCTACTCAAGCCTTCTATGAAGCACTACGTCTACATCCTTCTTGGTTTCTTGTTATAATTTTGCACAACTCTGTTAATGAACTTCTTGAATGCAATGCGTTCATCTTTGGTGACTTCTCGTGTGTCCGGTACTTCCATTCTTTCAGTTGATATGCTCATTAGTTCATTCACATGATCAGGCAGAAGGTGACTTCTTTCAGAACACAAAATTCTATTAAATGATGAAAAAGAACGCTCAACTGTAGCTGTTGTGACTGGGAGTAGCAAGAGATGAATTCCTACTTCTTTCATCCCAGGAAACAGAACACAAAGATCGGTTCGAGCCACTAGTGATGATAAAAAAGAAGTTGAAGTCAAATCTTCATTCATTCGTCGTATGATATTGAACTCTGTGTTCAAATTCTCTATTCTGTCCTAATCACATGGCAGCCCCATTGCTGGTAGTGCCTCACTCCACTCAACTGTCAGTGTTTTATAGGACAGGCATCTGTAAAAGCTACGTAGAGGTTGAGTAGAATCTAGAAGTCACTGTTGTAGATTTTAAAGAATCAAGTCTGTGTACTTTTTCAGTTGTCTTAACAAACACTTCTTGTCTTCTTCACTTAAGGATTCAATATAAATGCCTTCATTAGTCAACTTCTGGACTGAAGTCTTTGCTTCTTCCAGTACTTTTTCAATGGATAGATCTCTGATCCAAATGTAGCTTCTATTGCTGGACAAAGATCTACTACTGTTGTAGCAGATGCCTGGATGGCATTGTTTAATGACCCAGGTGGTTTCAATAGTAGACTTACGAGAGAGAGAATGGCAATAGTCTTCTCTGAACATAGTAGCAAAAGTAATCCACCAGCCTCACTACTTAGATCCATCCCATCTTGGTAGATACTTTCCAAAGCCAGTAATAACGGCTGGAGTAATTTTAAGACAACAGCCAAGGATCGCTCATGAGAAAGCCAGCGGGTTTTCCCAGGTTGAATTTGAACTTCAGTCCTAGTGTATCTTCTATATTTTCCAAGATATTCAGTCTTTTTGGACTCTTGCTGAAAAACGAATATAAGGAAGACATTAAATTTATAGCTTTTTTAATGTCTTTTGAAGATTCTGCAGCTCATACTAGTGCTAGTTGGAGTAGATGGCCTCTGCAGTGT